CAGTATAACACTGACCTAAGACACTCTAGCCCCAGAGAGATCCTGAGGTTCCAGTGGGGAAGGCCAGAAACAATCCTTCAGCAAGCAGCAAGATCCAAGATAGGCCAGAGTGTTAAAAGTTAAGTGTGCCTGTAGAGCCCTAAGTGACTAGTTTCATTAGTATGTTCCTAACAGCCCTGGTCTTGGAGGGTCCAATACTTCCAAGTCATTTCTAGCCCTTGGTAGATCAGTCTCCCAAAGGGTCCAAAGTCCTTAACCTCTATTCCACACATCACTGGCGGCTCCGCTACCATTATCTGTCTTTGATGAGATTTTTAGTTGTTTCTCTTTCATGAAATAGATTTCGTTTTCTTTACAGGAACAGGAAACTTTAGGATTTGTTTTGTTTTTATTTTACGTGTATGTGTGTATTGCCTGCATGTATATCAGTGCACCCGTGTCATGCACTGCCCACAGAGGACAGAAGAGGCTGTCAGATCCCCTGGAACTGGAGTTACAGACAGTTGTTAGTTGCCATATGGGTGCTGGGATTCGAACCTGGGTCTTCTGCAAGAAGTCAGTGTTCTTAACTGCTGAGCCATCTGTCTAGCCCAGGAACCTTTAGGTTTTAAGGACTTTGTACAACAGTTCTACCAAACCGCATACCCAGCAGGACACAAGCTAAATACAGGTCCTGAAGTCCTTCTTGTGTAGGCCAGGAGGCACCATTTATATACACGCCTCTCTTGATGCCAGCATGTTTTTATGTTGCTGATGTCATACCCAGCAGGACACAAGCTAAATACAGGTCCTGAAGTCCTTCTTGTGTGGGCCAGGAGGCACCATTTATATACACGCCTCTCTTGATGCCAGCACGTTTTTATGTTGCTGATGGTTTATACAAGAAGCACTCACCAATGAGAGAGTGGTTTAGAAAATCTAAAATTCATGCCTTTCTTCTTAAAAAAAAAAAAAAATCTAGTTGCATCTGAAGAGATGAGAGGGATCAAAGCTCAAAAACAACTACAGGGACTACACCCCAGGTTCCTCTCCCACCTCTCCAGGCCAACCATCACGATCTTCCTGTGGCTGCCTCTACTACAAGAACCACATATCATAATGTCCACTTTTTTCTGTTTCTTCCTACCTGACTGTGAACTTTCTAAGGACAAGAAATAAATGTTGGTCACTACTACATCCCAGCACCTATTACAGGGCCTGGCACACAGTAGGTGCTTAGTAAACATTTGCTGAATATAAACAGGGCCTGACAAAAAGTCCCTGGGTCAGGAATTGTCCAAGCTCAGCAGATTCAAAGTTCGGCTACTAACAAGTCAGTAGAAATTGCAGAAAAGGGCTGGGTGCAGACATTGCACATTCCCAGCAAACAGTCTCCTCAATCAACAAGCTGCAGCTGAGGGAGTCTTCTGCAGTCCAGAGATAAGAAAGTTGGGTCTTATGACTCCTGCCTCAGAAAGGTATGCTATTCAGTGTGGACATTGCTCCCAGGGGGCTAAGTGCAGCTCACATGCACTGTGGTAGGTGACTATCATCAGTTATCCCATTTCACCTGCACAGGGGCCGTAGGGGAAAGGCTGGTGATCCACTTGACAGGTGCCCCTCTAAGGCCTCCATCCTTGGAGACTTCAGAGCCTTGAGACAGACTCACAAACAATAAACATCTTTTAGATGCAAATCCACAGGAACCTTAACAGTCTTCACAGACATACCCTCAGGGTTCCTAAGGACCTTCAATTTCCTAGGTTACCTTCCTTCTCCCAGGAGATGCTCAAATTCCTACAGCACTCAACACCTCAACAAGCTTCCTTCCTGCCTTGCATTCTAGAGGACAGAGCCTATTCAGCCCACCTGCCCCATTCTTGAGCAGCTGATGATTGAAAAATGCTTTCTTACAGGTTCCTGAGTCTGTCCACCGCCCCACATCCCCTGCTATCTCTCCCACAGAAAAGTTCATCACAAGCACAAAACACTCCCTCCCTTGGGGTTTAGAAAGAGATTGCATAGGCTGCTCAATGGGACATGTATTTCATGCAGGTTAGCAAATGGTTTTGGTAGATAACAGGAATCAGAGACCAGGACACATCTTGTTGCAGAAAACGCAATCCCTGGGGTAAAAGATAGGGGTAAAGGAAGTAGATAATGCACCCAAACCCACAGGAACCTTAACAGTCTTCACAGACACCATTAATAATGGCAGAAAAGGCTTCCAAGACCAACTAAGGTTTTTGTTTTGCAAAAGAAACCAAGAAGCGCAGGGGTGAGGGCAATCTACAATCGTTTTGCCAAATGGACATGCTATCAAACTGCATTCTAAATTTTGTTTCCACCCACAGATCAGTGCCACTCTCAACCATGGTCACAGAAGCTTCTTTTTGCAGTGGGCAGTGAGTGGGCAGTGGTCAATGCAGAGACTGATCAAAGTGCTGAAAATAATTGACTTTTGAGACTGCTGAGTGCCCAGCCCTAAACCCCCTCCAGGCTCAAAGAATGGCACAGAAGTGAGGACAGAGGAATGTGAGAGCCAGAGGCTGGGGAGGAGTACTGTGAAGTGCTATCTTCTGGCCAGGACATGGTCACTGCACTCATGGTCACAGAGGCTACAAGATCAAGACAGTTGACATTCCAGCAGGGCAGAGGGAGGGGCTCAGGAGGCTCATCCACACCTAGCTGAGGGGTTATTGGCAACTGCAGGGGAAGGGGGACCCATCTTCCTTCCAGTGTCCACTGGTAGTTGCCCATGCTCTGGTGGATAGTCCCACACCCATGCAGGCAGCAGTCAGTAGACTCAGTTGTTATAGCAAATGGACAGGGGTGGGGCAGAAAAGATGAAGGAAAAGAAAGATATGATGGTGTGAGGGCAAAGTGCTGGGGGTGTCTGAGGGAAGTGGGAGGGGATTTGGGTTGAATATGCTCAAGATACATGTGTATGAAATTGACAAAGAGTAAATAAAAAATAAGGCTGCTGCAGCAGCAGCACAAAGGTGAAGTGGCAAAAGCTATTAAGGGTCAGGGCCACAATCAGAAGAACCTCAACCTAGTCCTCTTTGCACTGTCACAGCTCCAGCAGGCAGGACTGCAGCCCCTTTGGTTTTAGAATAACACTCCCTTCACAGCAGCACTTTCACTGCATTCCACGAGGTAAAGGAAAGAACCCCACCATCAGCTCTACCGGCTCCACTTTACAGAGGCTAACCTTGAATACTGAAAGACAAAGGGACTTGCTGGGGTTCCCTGGGAAATGCATTCATTCTTGGAGCTCAAAGTTAAGTCTACTCAGTGACAAGGAGCTACTGAAAAGAGCCAGAGAGTATCCTAGTCAGGAAATGGATTTCCTAACTAAAGGAAGGGAATCACCTGACTGCTGTTCAGCTTTGAACTCATTCAGAAAAATCTCCACAAGCCATGATCTTTCCTTCCTGTCTCCCCAGCCAGCAGGCTTCAAGGAAAAGAGTTCCACAGTGGCCATCAGGAGTCTGAGCTCCTGACTAGGGCATCCTGGTCAGGAGCTCCTGACCAGGGCATCAGGAGTCTGCTCCTGACCAGGGCATCCCTCCTATCCAGGGTGAGCTCCAGTTTTCCCACCTATAAAACAGAGACAAATAAATTTTGCCCTTTAGTTAACCAGGATGCCCTGAGGCTCAAATGTCAAAGAACAAGTTTGGGGCAGAGAGGCTCCCTCCCACAACAAGCTACTGTCCCTTCCTTCCCTCACTTCTCCAGCTCCCTGGCCTCTTCTGCAAGCCTATACACAAAGCATGTGACACAAGATCATGAAGATCTCATCCAAGGGTGGAAGAAGAAAAACAACTGCAACACCATCCCAATAGTCGCCAACATTTCTATTTTCCAAAGAGCATTTACAGTTATTAGTATAATATTTACCACTTGTTAAGTCCTATGCACAATGCACTACACAAAGGGTCCTGCAGGCCCACTTCCTTTCAGCTTACACAACTATGCATTTCACAGATAAACTCTGGCTTGGAGTTTAAGGAGTCAAGATATGGCCCCGGTGCTCATGCAGCCTAGTATTCCCAGACTGTATTAACATGGACATGAATCACCTGGGAAGAGTCAGGGAGACCTTCAAGCAGGTCTAGCCTGGGGCCTAAGCTGATGGGTTTCTAAATTCTCAAGAAGATGGGCTATGCTATCAGGGCCTGAGTAACCAGGCCTGGATTATAACCCCCATTAGGGGCAGTCTGTGTCACTGGGTCCCCAAATTTTCACACTAGTCCTGTCTCATAGAATGTACTTTATGATTTGTTAAATGAATCACTGTCTCAAAACTAAAGCTTCAACACTTTCCTATACCAAGACCCATTATCATTTGACCTTCATAACAGACCCGTAAGGTAAAAGATTCTCTGAAAGACAAGGAAATAAGGCTCAGAAAAGTAACCAAGGGGTTTCAGCTTTCCTGCTGCCAAGACCCACCGCAGCTGCCACAAGGGATGCAAGGAAAAATTACAGACCACCGGATGGTGGGGAGGGGGAACCTACCCCGGTGCGTGACAGGCTCTGAACTCCCGAGGTCACCCAGAACTGTCAGCTACCCCAGGGAAGACGCAGGCGGGTGCCCCAGGAGGAGGAAATAAGGGAGAGGAGAGGTGGCCGCTTTGGGGCACAGCCAAGCAACAGAAGGCAGCTGGAGAGGTGAGTCCCCTGACCTCCGTAACCCCACGGTAAGCCCCGCAGGATTCAAGCAACCCAGCTCTGGAGGGACGCTATCCAGCTTGGGTGGGTGGGAGAGTTACAGGCACAGAGGGAAATCGCTGCTAGATGATGAATCACCGAGCACATGACCCCGCAGGGGAGGGGAGGGTGCGGAGCCTGAGCGGGATGCGGCGGGGGGGCTTGGGAAGCGCAGGCCAGGCCCACCGACGTCCCCTCGGGTCTCGGCTGGGGGTGCGAAAGGAGCACCCCTCCCACGCCGCCCCAGCTCACGGCGGACTCCCCAGTCCCGGGCCCTCCGGATCCCCCGGCGCCGCGGGACTCACGGCCTTCAGCTGCTCCAGCCGGTCTTTCATCCTGGCCAGGTGCCGGGAAGCGGGGAGCGCGTCCCAGGTGAGCGGCCTCGCGAGGCGGCGGGGCCCGGGCAGCGCGCGGGAGTTCCAGGCGCAGGCGGAGGCGGCGGCGGCGCTCGTTAGGAGGAGCGTCCAGGCCACCGAGGTCGGCCGCGCCGCCTCCTCCGCCCCCGCCGGCGCCCAGCTCCAAATCCGGCTCCCCGGCCGCGCCGGCGCGCAGCGGTCCTCCGCCCGCCTACCCGCCCCTTACCTGGGCCGCGCCCAGGCTGCGCCTTAAAGGGCCCGCGGGCCCTAAGTCACTGCTCCTAACTCGGGACCCAGCTAAAGTGACACACCCTGCCGGCCAAGGAAAGAGATGGGTCTGGTGGGCTCCAGTTCCATCTTTCCATACTATACATTCTCAGATCCAGCCCTCTGCAGACTTGTCTTGAAGGCAGTCTGGGGTCCCGTTACCTTAGGAGAGGGGGAAATAGTCTGATGATGCTGGAGACGTTGCGCCCGGAGGAAGGGCGCTGCAAGGAAGGAAGGTGTGCTGTTTGCGCTCAAGGCCGGTTCCTGAGGATGGAACCAGAGAGAGAACGCGGTGGGGCGGGCTGGGGAAGTGGAAAATGAGCTTTACGCTGTTGGCCACCGCGGACTCTGAGAAGTGTAGGTTCGGTGTTGAAGTCGCCTTTCACTAGCACTTTGAATAGCTTTAGGGAAATTATTTTCCTAAAGGACACGTTTCCATAGCCTTAGGTGGGAGACTGCTTCCGCCAGCCAGTGGGAAAGGTGGAGCCTTTGATTGGTAACCTAGGGCTAGGTCTGTGGATCGAGAAGTTTGCGTTGGAAAACAAGCCCCACCCAAGTCCTCCGCGCTGTGGAGATCACGGGGTTTTAAGAACTTCTGAAAGGGTGTGGTTCTGCCCTTCCTCTGTCCCGTGCCCTACTCCCCCATTCCTTTTCGATTTGGTTTTGGGGAGCGAATGACATCGAAGGGAGTGGAGCTCAGTAAATGGAGCTAGAGAAGCGAAGATTTAATTCTCGAGATGGGGGGGGGGAGTTGCTCTTTGCATTAGGGCTTAAAGGCTGTAAAACTTTCGTAACTCTAACTGGACTTTGCCCTCTTCAGGGATGAGCCTGCTGGTGCTGACTTCCTCGACTGCCGTGAAGACACGTCTGTGTGGCGGGGCTGGGCTGTTGTAACTGGCCCTGCGGTTCTCAGCCCCAATCCCCCCTCTGACCTGTAGCGCACGTCCTTCTGCAGCAGCGTTTGCTAAGCAGACAGGGTTTGTCTGCGTTAACACCAGGGCTTCCGCGCCCCCTGGTGGTCATAACTCTAATGCTGGGGATTAAGCCTAGAGCCTGGGCAAGCTAGGCAAACCCTACATGACCTGAAACTTTAGCCCCAGCCCTTCTTCTTTTCTTTTTTTTCTTTTCTTTCCTTTCCTTTCAGTTTCTCTTCTCTTCTTTCTTTTCTTTCTTCTTTGTTTTGAAACAGTCTCCCTAAATTGTCCAGGCAAGCCATTCTCCTGCCTCGCCCTCTCCAGTAATTGAGATTGCAGTGAAGAACACTTTAGGTGAGCTCTCCGTTTGAAGTCTAGACAAAATATAGCCCTAAGGAGTAAGGAAACAAACAGCGCACCTTCCGTCCGTCCTTGGCCAGTACACTTCCAGGGTTTTCTGTTGCGACGCAATTGCTTTCAGCGGAATAAAATCGTGACTCTCAGACAGTATAAAGAGTACAACTTAAATTTTTTACTTAGCTCCTAAGTTAATGAAGCAACCAATAAGGCGTTAAATTTGTTCAGATGCACACAGGCAGCAGGAATGCTGGTGTGAATAAGTTACTCAAGGTAGAAATGGTTTCTGGGAGGTGGGAGATCGAGTGAGATTCCTACAGAGAAGGTCCGTTTCGTCTCTATGGGCAGAATCACTTGTGATACTATCAATTGTCAGCAACTTACAGGGTTGGACATTGAAAAGCACAAGCCATTAATCAGACAACTCAGAAGGGTGCGTTAGAGAAGATGTTAGCCACCATGTGAGTACTGGGATTCGAACCCAGGTTCTCGTCTAGAGCAGTTAGTGCTCTTAACCGCTGTGCCATCTCTTCAGCCCTCCTGGGACACTCTTAAAGTAGTATCTTTCATGGCTGAACAATAGCATTCTGTTAAAAAGTTCTTATACAACTGCAGGGAGTGGTGGGGCAAGCCTAGTGGATTTCATTTCTGTGAGTTCAAGGCCAGCCTGGTCTACATAGTGAATTCCAGGCCAGCTGGGGCTACAGGGAGACCCTGTCTCAAAAAAAAAAAAAAACAAGAAAAAATTTAAAGTTTTTTTTAAAGTTATTGTACAGAACAGAGGTTTTCTTCCCTATAACTTCCACCATTAGTCCTTGCCTTTGTCCAGACACTTTTAAAAATTAAATCAGGCCTGATGATGTAGCTCAGTCAGTAAAGTGTGCTTGCTAAACAAATATGAGGACCTAAGTTCAATCTCCAGAACCCACACAAAAAATAAAAATTAAGAAAAGCTGGGCATGGTGAGACATGCCTATAATCATAGCACTGGGGACCTGGAGACAGGCAGATCACCTGGGGCTCCCTAGCCAGCCAGCTAAATGTATTTGGCAAACTCCAGGCCAGTGAAAGACCCTGTCTCAGAAAACAATTTGGACAACTCCTGAGTAGTAATACCAAGGTTGTCTTCTGGCCTCAACACACAAAAAATTTAATGATAGCCATTGTAATTCTTTTATTATTACTGCTCCTATTATACGTCAAACATGATGTCCAGGGTCTTCATGTTCCTTTATACATTACTACATTTATCTTTTTATTTTTATTTTATATACATGACTGTTGCTAGTATGTATGTAAGTGTACTGGTGCATGCAATGCCCATGGAGGCCAGAAGAGGATATTGGATCCGAATAGCCAAGGATGACCTTGAATTTCTGATCTTCCTGCAACCAACTCCCCAGTGCTAGGATTATAGCCATCCTGTTTACACATGCAAGGAATCAAACCCAGAGCCTTGTGCATACTTAGCAAGCACTCTACCAACTGAGCTACATCCCCAGCACAAGAAAATTAATCTGTCCTTCATGTGATGGTTTTGCATTGGAGGGGCAATTGCTATTAATTAACAAAAGACTTGTACTCATAGCTAAGAGGCCTGAATTACAAATGGGGCTGTACCTCAGAATATCTATCACCTGACACCACAAATTATTTTCCCATCTATCAAATAAGGCAAGTGACCAAAACTAATAATTCTCAAACTTTAAAGTCAAGAATATCATATTCTCATTATTCTTACTTGTGGGTCTCTTGTTTTAAAAGATCTCTGATCCACACAAAATATGCTTGCTTGGGGTCAGCAAGGTAACTCAGCAAGTTAAGGCATTTGCTGCCAAGCATGAAGACCTGAGTTAAATCCCCAGTACCCATGTGGTGGAAGGAAAGAAATGAATCTTGAACGTTGTCCTCTGACTGCCACACTCTCAAGGTTTGGCATGCAGGAGCGCACGCGCGCACACACACGCACACACACATACACACACACACACAAATTGTAATTTACATTTTAAATATGTATTTTCTAGGTAATGGTAAATTTAATTCCCTATAAGAAATTGCTCTAATTCAGAAAAAAAGATGGTCTTTGGTTAGTTTATGAACATTAAAAACAACATAAACAGCCCTCTTGACTGCAAATGGAATCCAGGAAGGAATCCAGGAAGGTCAGGCCATCTTTTATTATGGCATTCTATTGGAAGATAATTATTATAATAGAGTTCAAAACCACTTAAGCTTCCTACTAGCTAGGAATTTTCATTCACTATTTTTATATTAATATCTGTCCTTCCAGGACATGTAGAAGCTGGGATTCCATCTGTCACTCCTGCACATGAAGCTGAAAAACTAAGTAACCATGGAACAAAGGACAGGGAGGGAGGCGTCCATTGATAGATGGGAAGGCTGATGTTGAGCCTGAGTGGACTCTCGGGTCTCCCAGGGATAGACAGTCCTGAGTTCAGCGTGAGCCCCTTGTCTCTGATGCATTTTATTTTTCTGCCCCACACTAGTACTTAATTTCTCACCTACTAGACTTTAATATGGCTATTTTCCCACTAAACATGCATAGGATTAATTCAAGTATTTGTATTTTGATTGTTAATAAATTGCCAACCCAACTTTTTTTTTTTTTTTTTTTTTTTTTTTTTTGATAGGTCTCATGTTGCAGGGCTCAAATTTACAGAGAATGATCTTGAACTTGATTCTCTTGCTGGGATTACAGGCATGTGTCACCACCCCCAGTTTATCTGGTGCTGGGAATTGAACCCAAGACTTGCTGCATGGTAGTCAAGCACTCTATCAACTGAATTATATCCTCAGCTATAAATGTGCCAACTCTTAATTTCACCTTTATAAACATTCCAAGACAGAATCCTGTGATTTGGAGGATTTCCTTCACCCTCTGTGCATGTTTCTGTTACAGCAGAGAAAAGGACAGATAGGTTAACACAGTGCTCCCAGGGTGTGGTGTTGAATAGAAAGACATAAAGAGAGCCATGTACTTGAAGAGGAAGATCTTTCCTGCCTCCCTCTCTTTCCCACTTCAACTAGGACAGAGAATAAGCTTGCTGACTTATGATTCTTCCCCCAACAGCTAGTGCTAGTCATAGATTGCTACACAGCAGTTTGCTCTGAAATCCAGCAGCCTGAAGCACAAACATTTGTTATCTCCTGTTTCTATGGCCAAGGGATCCAGGTGGAGTTCAGCTGGCTGCTTCAGTCTCAAGGTCTCTTCTAAGACTGCAATTAAGGTGTCAGCTGGGGCTATGATCTCATCTTGGTTCCTGAATGGGGAAGGAGCTGCCTTCAAGGTCACATGGTTGTTGACAGGATGTACTTTTTCTAGTGCTATTTGGACTGAGGACCACAGGTCCTTGCTGGTCACAGCTGGAGGTGTTCCTTGACATGCTGTCCCCTGCATAGGGAAGCTCAGGGCATGGCAGCTGGCTTCTATCACAGCAAGAAGGTGAGAGAGATGGAGAAAGAAAAAAGAGATCAAAGCTAAAGTATTTTTGTAATTGTAGCTCATGAGACTACCACCACCTTTGCAGTATTCTATTCTTAGAACTGAGCAAATACAGTCAATACTTACTCTAGACAACTGAATTACATAGAGAATAAACCATAGGCCAACTCAGTGGTTGCTTAGCACATAGTTCAAGTCCCAAATTAATTCCAGAATTATGCAGCTTCACCGTGTTAAAACTCTCTTCTTCAAATATGATCCT